AGATTATTTTAACCTATGTTTGTATTGTATTAATGGAAGATGACGGTCCCTTGCTATTTTATCTCTCGACTTATTTCTATCAAAACTTTTTCATGTCTGCTTGAAAGTATAGTTTTTTACAATTACCAAATAGACCAGACAAGGCTGGGTTATATCTCCACTACCTACATAAAATATACAAATTAACTTTGTAAAGAGAATAAATATGACATGTGTAACATTCTGTTGTTATAATATTATCGTTATCACAATGCATTAGCGGGTACAATCTTGTTAAAAAAATTATTTGCTTTATGTAAAAGAGATCGTTTGCAAACGTTTATCATAAATTTTCTTTGGTCATGTACTAAACAGCAGATTAAGGGTAGCCTTTTACTTGAATTACTACAAACAATCTCCATTGTAGTGAGACATGCCATGAGTCGCGTTGATTTAGCTTAAAGGTTGGTAGTGTACAGAACAAACAGGTACAATTAGGGAACAATATGGAAGTAGTCTCTTTATCTTGCTAATTTAGTTGGTTTAATATAAAAGTTATAAATACGGCCATGTTAAAAAGGTCTGGATTACTATATTTTGTACATTTCAAAAGTCACAATTGCCTTGAGTGTGCAATTCTCAGTAGTAAAGCGTGTTAGTAAATAATAACATTAAAAACAGAGAATTTAATTGAAGTATTAATACCACAAAGTTTTGTTGCAACAGGCATTGTTGATTTGGCATAACTTTTTAGAAAATCTCTTCGGCAAAAACCCGCCTTTTATGATGCTTGGTGGCCTACGTTATTACTGAAATTAAAATCTCTTAACATTTTTTGCTGACTCATTTTTTTCAAAGGGTACAAATACGGCAAGCCGGGACTGTCCTCAGGGATCATTTCATATAGTATCGTATCGTATATGTGTAATTTACGAGGGTGTTGATATTCCTCTTACCAAAGAAAACACCATGACTGGGTACGTTGACGATACTTTGTTATTTGAAACCCAAATTAGTATTTAGTCCTAATCCTATTCGATAAGCCTAGTAGCTTATCGAATAGGATTAGGACTGAGGTTAATTCAGATTTAAGTGAACGATACCGAAGGAAACCAATTTTTCTGTTATTACGTACAAAAACTTACTCGATTAATTATGATTTTCTTTGAAGGTAATTCACTCGAATCGTCTTAAAATATTAAAATAGTGTCTGAAAAGTTATCTTAAACGAGCTTTTGTCTATTATTATCTATAATTTAATCAGTTTTTAATTATCATAATTAAATTAATCAATCAAATATTTTCGACTTTTATTTATACCTCCATTATTATTTCTGGAGTTTAAAATCTGGGCAATATGTTGGGTCAAAGGGTCTATTATTAGAGCTATAGGTACGGCTAAGTGAACCTATTAAATCTAGTCAACACTCTGCCCATCACAAAATCTTCAGCTTTATAAGGCTGAATAACTTTTTTGTCTCATTTTTTTTAAATTTAAATTCGCGAATCCCTAGAACTGTCAATCAATCTAAAGTTCCTTGTAAAAGATAGAATATCCATTGAGGAAGGTATGTAACACCAGTAAAGGTTATTAGTCCGGTCAAGTTAGCCCGTAAAATAGGGGTAACCCTTGCATAAATGGCCAAGAAGGTGAATTTTTGCATGAATGTTAGGGTTACAATTATAATGAAATTGTGAAAAGTCCCCATCGATCCCATTTGTGCAAGTACTACGACTTTTGACAGAAACGTTTTTTGACAGGACTAAACTATTTTTTAGTGATTTTTAGTTTCATTTTAGAGAGTTTCCGAACAACAGAATTAGCACCATCGTTTAACTAGCTTTTGCCTGCGCCTTCGTTCGCGTGGTGGTGGAAATAGACATCGTAGAGGATACTGTGAATGAAGACTATAGGTATATTCCCAATGCAAACTTGCACCCCCTTTGAAGGATAGTTTTGAAAATTTATTAACTACGTTTGTTATTAGTTTTAATAAAGAGCATTTACTGTGAGTTTGAAAGCGCTACTACCAAAAATTACGAAGCTTCATATACATTTCCGACCCCTATTTCCAACACCACATGTGTTTTTAAATTCTTTCTTAGTGCACACCTACGTCACCTAAGGTACATTTTTGCAAATTTCATGATTCTATACCCAGCGGTTTCAGCTTTGTGTTTATCGATCAGTCAGTAAATTAGTCTGTCAGTTTCTCCTTTATAGATATAGACTGGTAACGTTTATGTTATGACCCTGGTATACGTCGTGCATAAAAGTTTATTAGTAAGGTTGTAATAGTTTTTAATATTATTCGTCCAATGTTGTACACTGGCAGCGTAGTCATGCATATTCTGGGGAATACAGCTTTAGGAAATTTTAGTATCGCTTTTTCTCAAAAATTGTGAATCTTAAGGGAAAAAATTAAAGCGCATTTTTTTTAGATAAATGCATGATCTAAGTTTTTGTATAATCAATTTTTATCCTAAAACTAACCGTATCGCGTTGAAAAATAAAAAAGAAACAAAATGTTTGATGATGAAAATCGATGGGACTTTTCATTATTTAAATACAAAGGTATTCCGTTAACGTTCACACAAAAAATGAATTTGTGCAAGAGTGAATGTAAATATATACTTGTTAATTGTTAATATTTGAATAAAATACCTTACTATTTAGAACCCATAATGTTTAATTCCGGGGTACTTTAACCGTATTTATATGATACTATTATTTATTTTAGCGGCAATTTATTTTAGCAATTGCCACATTTTTAAAATAGAGTTTTACTCTTTTTTTTAAATGCTCGCTCGCTTTCTTTAACGCTAATACATATTTTCAACTTAGTAATTTGTTACAAGTTTCTCTGAATATGTTTAACTTTGACATTTAAGTATCAAATCGTTATAAAGTATTTTGTAATAGTTATCGAACGTTTACTGCACATTCATAAAGACATAATTACACATCATGTGATGATGATACATCATCATCATCACATCAACAGCCTATAACAGTCCACTGCTGGACATAGGTCTCTCCTTAGAAAGAAGGTTTTGGCTTACTATAACACGCTGGCCAGAACGCTGGGTTTATTCTAAGTTTTACTTTTCTTTGCAGTGTTGTTTTTCGGCGTAGTTTGCTCCCTTAGTCGTCTCTTATGACACCCATGAGATGAAAAGGGGTGGTAACATTCCGTATTCTTAATCCGTCACCACACGGACTTATAATTATTATTAATTAAATTTAAACTTATGATTATACACTTATAAAAAGAATGGAACAATAAGAATGTAAAGTAGTCTGATTTATGATTTCCAAAGCCTCTATTCTCTGCTCAGTTTACACATCTACCAACTGTATTTGCATGACAAACATTTAAAACGAAGAAATTGAGACTCATTTACATAGAATACACTTGAATGCTAAATTATTGGTTTAAACAAGAATATTTTTAGGTCATTAAGTAACTGCTTTGTCACAATGTTCCTTAGCCTTTTTATACTTAATAATGAAAATGTAAAATATGTTAATAAAGACCAAGTGAGAATCGAGAGACAGACATCAGATGCATAGTTAAACCAAATCACAACGCGGAAACTCGCAAGAGGTACTCAACGGCAAGAGGTAGACATACATACCAGTAAGAGTAATTGTCAGAAAAGCCATGATTACTGTGTCGTTATTCTACACAAAGGGATGAGTATCTCTGTACTCAGTAAAATCATAGAACTGATAACTAACTGTGCAAAAAGTTCCACCCAACAGAAGACTCAATCGGTCAGTATAATATCGAATTACTGTTTCACACCTCGATCATTATTTTTATTGCCTTCTAAGGAGAGGCCTATATCCAGCAGTGGACTATTATAGGCTGTTGATGATGATGATGATGATGTGTCGAGGGAAGAAGGAAGGAATAAAAGGAATAACAAATACCTAAAGTAATGCACACAAAGTACAGTAAACAGTTGTTCTTTATAGTGAAAGAAGCCACAACACTTGACGCGTTTGCTGTTAGAAATATTACCAGTGCGCCACGGCGAATTTCAAATATGAGCACAATACGAATACAATTAGTATTAACATATGCTCTTTAAAGCCTTTCGAGACAATATGTAACCTACATATTAAACACCAAACATAGCAGTATGTTAAATTGTTCGACAATTTACGACAAATTAAGGTGAAATTCTCCGTTGTGTTAATGAGCATTTAAACCTAGCACATAATATTGTATGTTTACGTTGGCGTAAGCTGCGTACGCAATGGCTAAGTTTACGTTGTTAAATTTATAAATTTGATATATTTCTAAGCGTTGATCTTTTTGGAGGTTGTATTTAAATGTGGCGTACCTACTTTGTTTGAACAAAAAATATTCATTTGAAAGGATGGCACGTTAAAATAAACCTTGTTTCAATCTCTCTACATCAATTCCAATCTATGTCAGTTTGGCAAAATTACTTTTAACGGTATCTAATATTAAATGCGTTTTGTAATGTTTTAAAATGACAATTTTGAAATATTTTTTCTATTCATCAAATGTATAACAATAAACAGTCTTATATGTATCTATTTACTTTCTGTCTACGAAACTTCAGAATCGATTTTGAAAATTCCTTTAGTAATATGAGATTTGATTTTATAGCAGCCAACATACACACACATAATTCTTAAAATCTTCTTCCGCATCATGTTTAGTCAGAAAAGACTACAAAAGTGCATTACTAAATTTGACTTTACTTACGTTATATAGAGGAAAAAAAAATACTAAATGGTTATTCTAAACTTTTATGTAACATTGTTTAAAGTTACGCAAACTTTAAAGAATATCTATAAAGAAATCATATAGTCATTTAAATTTACTTTCCTATAACGTAGAAATCATGAAATAAAAAAACCCAACAAACAACATCAAAAGACAACATGAGCTCATTAGGAAATTATTGACTTACCTAATGTAATTAAAAGTTTATAAATTGAAATACACTATTAACAGAAAATAAATAAATTATGAACTTACATCTTCGCCTATTTTCCCGCGTGAAAATAGAATTTTTCCAACCGGCATTTTTGGTACTGGCAACTTAGACTCCAGCCCAAGCTTGTACCACAGAGGCAAGCCATTTTTTGGTACGGCTCGTGATGGTTTTGGGACAGAATCGATTACTTTCTTTAACTCCGTTGGTTTTCTGAGTGTCATCAAAGTTATATCTACGTCATCAAGATCTTCGAGTTCTATATCATCCATTTTATCCGATTTAGACATTTTGTAGTAGTATTTAGGAAAACAAATAAAAAAATACAATAAACGGGAAAACCACGTCGAGACCGCTCGGCGGGCGGGTTCACAAGAATTTTGACGTAAATTGATGTTCCATTTTCAAATTTTCACAAGGCTAAACATTTTTTTTAATTACCATTTTTTTAAACCAGCGAAGCTTCCTTGGAGAACATTGTTTATAAAAAAGTATTTATTTGTTAAACAATAATTTGGAATACAAAACGTTGTCATTCTCATTTACTTTATTTCAAACAACATTAACTTTAAAGAAGTGAATATGAAGAAGTGAATGTAAAAAAAATATGCATATAACAATTTTTTTTAAATGATTGCACTTTGCATTATTACAGATTCTATGGCAAAATAAAATATATTCTAAGTTTTTGGAGCTGTGTGTTTTTGAGAAACGCAGGGTCAAGTAGTCCCAAGACTACTTGACCCTGCGTTTCTCAAAAGCATTAAATTTTGCAACATTTTTTATTGATGCAGGGCTCCTATTTGTTGTAGCGTAATGTTATAAAACCTATAGCCTTCCTGAATAAATGGATTATCTAATAATGAAAAAATAATAATTCGATCCAGTAGTTCTTTATCAAATTAGTAAAAGAAGCTATGTTATGTCATGAACCTTTTTTTTTTTTTAAAGACTAGCACACTAGACCGCATTAGGAATATATCCTGTGTAGCGGGGGACTTTACAAACATACGTGAGACGGACACAGAGAACACCCAGACTCAGAAAAACAATTTGTGAATCACACAAAGTGTCGTCCTATGTGGGGATCGAACCCACAACACTCAGGGTAGTAGTAAGCAGCGTGGCGACCGCTTAAACCACTACGCCATCCGTGCAGCTTTGTTAACTACTCAGGTCAACTACGTGTTGTCTAATATAAACAGTGACCGTAGTTCGTCAAAGTTGTGATTTATTGAAAATATAGTAACTCTTAGGAACTTACTTAATATTATAGCAAGAGATCCATGCTTAGGCACCTGTGGGCTAGCTCGATCAGAGTGATACCACAGAGTCCCAACCCCTCCCCTTAATTCTGCAGAGATGAACGGGTGGCAACGCATTTATATCTCTTGAGTCGCTTATATGGGCTGCTGCAGTCACTCATTTACCATAATATGATCCGTGTTCTCGTTTGTCGTTTGTCCAGTTGGCTGCGCAGTGCTGGCATTGTGCCGTCTCCTTGCGTCCAATCCAATTCAGGTACTCGCCTAAGCAACCATGCCCAGTGAGTACCTGCGTCAGTGTGTAGGTGACGCCGTCAGTCGGTAGGTGATATGTTTGTTACTACACCATAAAAATAACAACAATAATATTCCGGACATCTGACACGCTTGTACTATGAAAGCTAGATTGACTGATAGAATACTTGTGTACTTTTTTTTAGGTTAATACATACATATTATACATAGAAAACATCCAAACTCTGAAACAAATATTTGCAGATCATACAAACATTTGGTCCGTCCCTGGAATCGAAACCTAAACTTCAGTACAGCAGTGGCATAGACTACCACAGCACCACCGAGGCAGTCAGTAATAATATTCATTCGTCCAAAGTAACGAGTGTTTCGTATATTCTTTGGTAACCATGATTTAAAACAGTAGAGGATAATTCTAAAAGGAGGTCAACTAAAGCAGGTTAAATGAGATAAGCGTCGATAAATAAATACACATTTACATTCATACTTGTTTCAATAGAGATCACGTGCTAAAATGTCACAACGATTTGCATTGTAAATATATGTACGACCATGTATTTTGTACTACCAAGTCCCCGCATCTTGTAAATAAATGTTATTCTTATGACTAAATGTAAAAAAACATGATTAATTGTTAAACATATTTCCAGACGTACAGCAGCTCTGAAAGTGAGTGCCGATGGCGGCGAGTAGCAAACCTGCCCATCAACGGCCACAACATCTCTAGTAAGAGTGTCCGACTAAGAAGAAGGAACATAAACCCCTCTTTAAGTTTTATAGTTGTGACCAAAAGTAGCTTTATCCTTGAGCGGTTTACACGTAACTATGTAATAGATAGGCACACTTGTTTTAGAATTATAATGGTTAACGTATAGATAAGGTGTTGCCAACAGGTTCGACAGCTCGCACCGCACCGTAGCGCAGAATATTAGATATTAGAATTCCGTTTTCTCATAAATGGATTGCAATATTCCGTGACGATTCTTAATTTTTGTAAGTAGATGCAAAGTTTACATCTTGACCTTTTACGTCTTGTGTGTTTAATCTGTCTAAATGTCTGAATAAATCAAAATAACACGGATTTGAGTTGTGACTATGGCTGTTAATATAGTATACACATTGCGATATTGATGATTCGGTCCTGTTATTCTTGATCAGGGTGTCTTTTAATATTTTGACTTTCACTTTAGATAATACTTACATATAAGTATGTTTATGTAAACGGTAGAAAGTTACTCAGAGATCCTGCAGAATCAAAAACTTTTCTACTTACTTATACTATTACAATTAAAATATTCCATTTAAATAAATGACTTTATTATTATTAAGGTGTACCGTAGCATGTTTCACAATGCATTATTTAAACGTTTTAAGTAATTTGTATAGAAGAAAGGAAATAGTATTCAGTAACAGAAACATGTATTAAGTATGACATAATTATGACAAGACAAAGTACCCATTGATTTTTTTTAAAAGACAACTCCCGCATTAGGAACATATTTGTGTTCCGGGGGACTTTACAAACATACATGAAACGGACACAAATAACTACCAGATACAGAACAACAAGTTGTGGATCACAACACACTGTTGTTTCATGCGAAGATCAAACCCACAACACCCAGCGCAGTAGAAAGCGGCGAGGTGATCGCTTAAACCACTACGCCAAGCGTGCAGTAGTTATTATACTCGTTTTTCACTGATTATTCATTGCCGAATTATAGTGCTAAAAGAAAATAATGCCAGCTAATATTTGTGTTTAGTAGGACAACCGATTCAGTCGGTTAGGGGTAGGTTACGATGATTGGACCACATAACTTTAAGGCGTCATATATTATCTTATAAAATAAAAGTGAAATCCTTTCTTAACAAAGATACGATGCTACATTTATTTCAAGGCAAAGTTGATCAGATTTAGCAATTTAGTGATAAAACCATTTTTAGATCCGTTTCTTTCTTTGGACCACCGTTGCATTGATTAGCCCACCTCGTAATGGCCTTAGCACCATTTGTACTACAGGTCCAATTATGAAAACTGAATGTAGGTGACTAATAAAAATTATAGTTTTAAAAAACTAAAAAAACACGCTTTCTATAAAAACCAAACTAAAAAATAGAAAATAAATTTGAAAAAAGCGTGGGGTGCTTTTTACTATTGACAACAAAACTATAATTTTTTTTAGTCACCTTTTTGTTAACGGTAAAAATAAAAATCACCTAAACATAATACAGCGTTACATTTTATAACTTTTTCACCGAACAAAGACATCGACTATTATATTGAAGAAAATGTGTGTATATATCACCACAAAAACAATAAGGCTTACATCATGGCGCTTGCAACAGTGCCGAAATATGGGAAACTACATAATTCCTCAAAAATAACCATTTTTCCATATTCTCATTTGGTTCTGTTTCAGTGGCTATGAACTCATAGTCACATCATCAAACATCTTTATTTAACGGGTAGATGCCCGTTTTCGAAAATATCACTTTCTGATCCTATAATTTGAATCTCTTCCATAGCTTGTTTGTTTTTCCTATATAATCTGCATTCCAAAGCTGCTTATAAGAACATTCGATAAATCAGATGAATTCGAGTTGCCTCGTTTAATCTTACTGATTTTTCTGACAGCCTCCTTTCTTACTTTTTTTCTGACCTCATCCTGGAAATAAATTGTATATTAAAGTTAATTAAAAAAATAATTGTAAATAAAGCAATTGTATATTAAAGTTTTTTGATTGGACCAGTCCATTCATAGCTTCACTATGCTGGACCAAAGATAGCAACTAGGTACTGAATTAAAAATTTGTTTTCTTTTAAAAAGGGGAAAAAAATTGGCAGAACCTACTTAAACTTACAATTAGATAAATATCCTATTAATTTTAAATATTATTATTGAATATACAAAAGTATTATAATACTTACATCGTTTTTCGTTTCACGATTTGTATATTGCCGTCCTCCCAGACACGTTCGTGGACACTGCTGCCTAGCAACTCATAGGACACGTTCTAAAATGCCCATATTTTAAAATACTTAGGTGGGCCAATGAAAAGTCGGTCCATTGATCGCAACATTCCCCTATATATTCTTTTTATTAAATTTACGTTAAAGGTTATTGATTTTGTTTTGTTGTGAGAGGGCTCTTTTATTTGTTGAAGTCGTGCTTTTTGTTCCTTCTGTCAATATCAGAAAAAAATCATTTTATGGAATCTTATGACACTATATTTGAAATTTACTTATAAAGCTAATATATATTTAGCATAAAAGAGGGCTGCCATGGTGATATTTGGACAGCAAGCATTTTATAAAATGAAGTTCTTAGATTTCATTTAAAAATGTTTCGTTTTGAAATGAGAACCCACATTAAAAAAAGAGGTAAGTAGTAAAATAACCGTTTTTATTTTACTAGCAATTTTTTTCATATAACCTTAAATTTAATGTGCCCTCTGTATTTTGTACTGAGAGCCGTAAATTATTAAATAAGAAGACATTATTTTTAATAACGAAATTAATAAAAACGTGTTTTGGTTTTAATAAATCATTGCAATTTAAAATAGCTAAGAAAAATAAGCCTTACAAATGACTGATTATTACTGTTTACTGATTTAATAAGAAAATAATGAATTAGGTAATATTTTTATGCTCGCTTCGGTACGAGTTGTGCGAACGCAAGGCCATGCCAAAAATTTGGCCTACCTTAGTAATACCCATTTTGATAGCACGTTAACGTAATACGCTTTTATCAGTTTATGCGAGCTTAATA